TCACGAAGTGGCTAAAATTAGAAAAAGTTGCAGTTGCTGGCTGTGGCAGTGATCTGTTGGCACAATAAAATGTCTAATGAATTATTTCAGATTACATAAGATTTGCTACATAACCTACAGTATATGACAGGACAAATTGCTTAGGCCCGACATTTTTCAGTCAACACCTCTGTTGTCCCACATGCACCAAAATGCATCACTTCTCGTTAGCGTTTGCATTCAGGTCAGACTGGCACAAAAATAAAGATTTAATAATAATTTAAAAAATTATTTATATTAATTATTATTCTTATAGTGATTATTCTGGATAAGGCTTTGATTGACAGTTACAGTAGCTGTTTTATATTGCACTCAGAATATTTAATTATGCACATGTGCTGATTACGCTGCCATTGTCTATCGATGTGTGTGAACTAAAATGATCACTGTAGTTATTACAGTGACTAGAATGATCATTTTCTTACTGAGGCTGGACAATAAAGAGACATTTCCGGCAGTGTTAAAAGAGGAAGGGGCTGTAAGGGGACTGTCCCAGCCTCCGAACTACAGTTACACTGAATGCAGGCCATTGTTGAAGTTTGTAAAAGCTATGGAACCACCAGACCATGGAACACTCACTGCCCAGCCCCCAGTAGTGCCCTAGATTCTGGGGCACTGCATTAGTTTGTTGCTCTTCTTCGTCTGCTGTCATGGGGCAGTTTCATGTGTCATTTGGCTTTTGCTCAAGCAGGAATTAAAGCCCTTTTTCAAGCTTGTTGGAGGTAAATCTGCCTCCTGCTGTGTTTGAATTGTCCCCTGCAGTCAAAAAGCAGCCATACAGTTGATAGCTAGAGTTGATTGTGCAGTTCAGACGTTCCTGATAGCAGTGAAATGTGATGATGCTGCACAAAAGATCAATGGCTGAAGTGCACAGATGAGGTGACAAATGGTATTTTTAAAGGCCACCTGCTTCATTGAAATGCAACATTTCTTTTTATGAGTTATTTTTTTTCTGAATTTGGCTGCATGAAAATACCGAGCTTAGGAGAAAGGTAAAGAGATGGAACAGTAGCCTATGTCTTGTGGTGGCTGTGGACAGTCATCCAGTCTGTGTGGGCAAGATACTGAATTGAGTGTTAATTTGAATGTTATAAAAAGGTGCTTAGGTAAAGTACATGTGTGTGATTAGGGGCTTGTAGAAAAAAAGGGGCTGTGAGTGCTCAGTTAGCATACATATATATATAAGTGCCGGTCTATTTGCATTAGGTGAACATAGTGCTAACACTAAACATTCAAACAAATCCAGGATCCCTGAGAAACTGTAAACATTTTAAACCATGTTAGGCACATGTTCTTATAACTGATTTGCAAACAGGATATGGTCATCAAAACTAAAAATTGTGCTGACCAGCAATAAAGCAGCTCTGGCTAAAGGTTGCTGGCTCCTCCGGGAGGCAAATGCTTATTCTTGGTTTGAGGGCTTTTTATATGATGATGTAGATAAGTAACATAAGAGAGGAGTCTGGCATTTATAACTTTGAAAACCTTTTATATGGACAAAAACTTTAGATAACAGACTAAAGGATAGGAATAAATACTAGAAGCTCAATCGGAGATATATATAATGAACTGATGCCTGTTTGATCTGCTTTGAATTTCAGATCTTCTCTTTGTTGTCATGCAAAGCTCACATCTTTTTTTCATAAGTGAATTTTATAGTTTGGCTTATCATCAGCTGAATGCCATGGAATATTTCTCTGTCACATGTGATATAATAAACACCATTAAATAGAAGGTGAAATGAAGATGACACTGCAGGGGGATTGAGTCCTTAGTGGCATGTTTCGTGGATACAGACGCTGTAAGTGAGAAAGCGGGTTAGCAAGCCCTGCTTGTCATTTTAAGTTTGATGGTTGTTTGATCATTTCGTATTCAAATACAAATGTGTGTATGCCTTGTTGTCTTCTTGCAGCTTTAGACCCTCATTTAATTTAATCACTTTTTAAAAAACAGACTCAAACTGGAACGTGAGCAAACTCAAGCTAAACTCAAACATGATTCTCATAAAATATGGTGGACAGTCAGCAACACAGCTTGTTGCAAAGCACCAGGCTGTTTCCTCAAAGAGTCTTTGTTCAGCTACGAGAGGGAGTGAGAGAGACAAAGGAAGGGACAGGAGGTAGGAAGTGGGAGAGAGAGAGAGAAAGAGGGAAAAGAGAGAGGTAACTGAGGGCAAAACAGGAGACCGAGGAGGAGATTAAAGAAGAGAAAGGGTGGAGTAGGAAAATGGTAGTTACGTTTCACTTTGGGATAGAGTAAGAAAGCATAGTCAAACAAAAATACCTCATCAAGGGAGATATATGGAGAAATACTGGTGTAGAGAAAGAAATAGTTTAGCGAGGGTGTGGAATAGAGGCTTCATAAGTAAAGTAATAAAGACAAGCAGACAACCAAAAGCAAGCATAGAAAAGAAAAGTGCGGGATTGTGAATTTGTGTGTGAAAGAGGAAAGCAAATGTATGAAGTGTGAGTGAGAAAGATACAGAGGGAGGGCAGAGAAAGTGTTTGACAAAAGGCTTTTGTTGTGAAAGTGGCCATTTTGAATCTTCCCCTGGTTACGGATGGCTCCACTTCACTGTGTCCCAGCCTACTTGTTTGGCCTAGTTTCTCATTAAGTCGCCACTTGTACGGTGACAGTGTTTACTCTGTTGGCACACTCACTATTTATGGCAAACATTATCACACATCCACTAGAGATGGTGCAGCTTGATGCCATGCAGATCAGCGAATTTTTCTCCCGAGGGCAGCACATCCTATAACACATTTGTTCTTTAAAGACCATGACAATGCTGTTAGAAGGCTCTTTTTTATCTTGAAAGATGTTCATTATGAATTTCCTTCAGATGCCAGCAAGTGAATATTTACATTCATTTTGATTTAGAAACAAACCAAATATATGTCGAGGGAATCCTGTGAACAGGGTAGCAAGTTTGCAAAGGATTGCAAAGTTACATCTGAACAAATGGCAAGACTTTGACAAGAATGTAATACACAGTGCCACGCTGGGCAAAAACCAAGCACAGTATATCAGCACAAATACCTCATACCACATAATGATTTGGGTTCCTCTTGTTGCATTCACTGAGTTGAACATGAACTCCTGTGTATACCAAAGTATTTTAGAGTCAGTCTCAACCACAGCTAAAGGTGTTCTTGGCCCAAGAACACCAGCACATTTACAGCTAACTGTCTAAAAAAGAAAATAACCAAGGTGTTTGACTGGCCCACTCAAAGTATCTGTGGCATATCTGTGAAACTGTCCCTCTTGCTTATAAATATTCAAACTTTACTAGGTTGTTATTGAATCATTAACTCTTCAGTCCTCTGACTTAAACCCCAGAAAAAAATCCTAAACATGCTGACTCTTAGCTGGCTACATGCTGTGATATCTGACAAGTACTGACTTAGACTGCCTAAACTTAAGCATGTGTCTGCATACAGAATAAAGTGTAACAATATTTGAAGACATTTTTTCCCCTGCATTTCCATGCCAGAAATTAAGAAAAATACATACGTTTAACAAAGTGGAAGGAAATGTGCTCCAATGCGCTGCATTTTTTGAAAGTAGAAAACATTTTATGCATACACTAAGTGTGCAAACACACTGCAATGCTTAATGTTGCAAAATGTCCACAGCATAATCCAGGATAGAAATTAGATTATATGCACAAAGGGAAACTGTGATTACAGCAGTGGCTGTACTTTACTGCTCTGTAAAGAAGAACGGCGCCCAGCAATGTCTTCATGCATTAGCAGTAAGACAATAGAAACCCCATCTCTGGGTGCACTGTGGTCACATACGTACAACCTGTTGTCATACTTACACATAAAGACCCCTGCCTTTTTTATAGAGTCAGTCACAGCACCCCGATTCTACACCATTGATCTAAACCTTCCCAGAAGCTTCTGAGTCAGTTCTTTTGTTACTCCTCTCTGCCAGTCATCTTACATCATTCATAAAGCTGCTTATTCCACTGAAGCATTTCCATGAAGGGGATTCACTGTGTCATACAACTCTACTTTGGGAGTTTTTGATCCTTAGAGTCAATTGTAGAGAAGCTTTTTTTTTTTTTTTCCTTTTTGACCGCCTTTCCTTAAGCTGCTCACGCGCGAACCTTAATAACACACATCAGTAGCAGTAAGAACATACGTGCACACACTGTAGTGCTGCAGTAGCTGTGAGGTGCTGAAGGAGAAAATTCAGCTGGGATGAGAGTGAGTCATGGAAACCGCTTAATATTATGGGCTGTCTTTCCCTTGATGTTGTTCAAGCTAATTAAGCCTTGTAGTAAGCTACTCAGGTCTGTTTGAAGTATGCAAGAGATTCACTTTAATGGTCTGCTCTATGCGATTCTGTGTTTTCACATTCAATTTGAATATGCTTACAACCCAGGGACCTTAGATTATAAAGATAAGACACCTGGGTTTATAGCTATGAGTCTATTTCTAAATTACTTGGGGAAATAATAGTTGTTTAGATCTTGAGACTGCAGAACATGTCAGTATATGACACACACATACAGTATTGTAAAGATGCATTTACACAAGACCTCTATGCCTGTTATGTTACCTTATTCTAGCCTATTAAAAACATTGTTGATGAACAGGAAATTGTGTTTTCATGTCAACACTTACATTAAATGAATGAAATTGTATGTGACAGTTAATTAAAATGGATTTAAGGTAAATTTATTTTCTTGAGTACGAGAATAGTCCAATGTAATGCTGGCTTTCAAAGAATGAAGGCACTCTACAGGTGCACTCAGTGGCAGTTGCAAAAACAAAGTAAAGTGAATGTGGTGGTGCACACTGACCCCTACTGCTGATGGCTTGTCATCACCCTGCTCTGCATGGCTCGCCCCTGCCTTACTCTTGACTGACACAGGGGCAGCAGGGTCACTCAGACATGTCCGACAGCAGGCAGATTACATGTTTGTGTTCTTGTTTCCACTGTTTTATTAGGATTGGAGTGCTGTGTGCGTATGCCGCCAACCAGAACCTGAGCTCTCAGGTGAAGAACGTACGGAGACTGGTCAACAGCAACATGAGGGATCTGCACACCTTTGCTAACGACACACCGATGGTGAGGCAGAAAGTTTCCATTTGAAACACGATGTTACATAAAGAATTGAGGTGAAGCATTATAGATGGTTCAGTTATGAATTTTCCTTGAGGGTACACTTGTGAATCAGTGTGCATATTATTTCTTTTTTTCTTTGTTGAAACTGGGGTTTCTTGTCATGCTGGCTTTGTGTAATCCTTTCAAACGGGAAAAGAGAATTTTCTCACCTTTTGTGCACGCAACACCTGCAAAGTTGCTTTTGAAAAGATTGTTCTCATACGGTGAAATTTCTCCAACAATCAGTCTCACTCTTATGGGTGGTATTTGCTGAAGAAACCAACTCCAACCAGATTCTCAAGTGGATTAATGAAATTGTGTAACACGGAAGTAGTTTGTTGGTGTCTAGACCAATAAAGTACTTTTGTGCAGCTATTTCTAAGACTCTGCTCGTCTCTGTGTTTCCTCTATGCAGCAAATTGAATACCTAATATCACAGTATGCCACGGCCAAGAACAAAGTCATCTATGACCTAGATAGTAAGTAGTTCTTCTCTGTTTCTCCAATAGTAAATTAGGTAGACACAAACAAGTCACTAAGTTTATACACTCAGTTGTGTAGCATGCTTATTATGTGAATTTAATGTGTCTGCTTTACTTGTTTTCACAACTGTGACTTAACTAGCTCCATAGGCAAAGTAGCAACTTTTAAAAAACATCTCTTGAGTATTCTTGCTACTTTCTTCTGGAGGCAGTTCTTTCCTAGAAGTTGTGACTTGCAAAAGCAGAGCCAGGATTTTAAGCTTTTAAATTAAAAACAAAAAAAGGAAGAAGTTATGCCTTGTATACTCAAACCATTAGAACACAAGTTTACTAGAGAACAAAATTGGGAACAAGAGTGACTTGGACTAACGTGTCTATGCTGATGTTTTCTACAGACATAGGTCCATTATTGGGTGGAAGAATACATGATCAGTTGGATAAGGAGGTCCGTCCTGCCTTGGACCAAGTTCTCAATATGGCTGGAGGTACAGTTGCTCACTTTTAATTTCCTCCTCTAGCTAAGATCAAAATATTGCAGGTTCTAAGCTACTAAATGCCAGCTACAGCTTCACTGCAAACATTGCAGTGCTGCCAGTTGTGTGATGAATACAATGTTTTTCCCTTAAATGTGTGATTTAAAGTGTGAATAACCTTTTTTTGGTGGAAATACAGGTTTAGGACTCGTTTCAGTATTTTCCTATAAGTAATAAGTCCTCCACCATATAATAATAGTTTCATTAATCCTTAATCTTTGTATTTTATGCTTTTTTTTTTTTTTATAAAGTGAAAATCGAGAGGGCCATTAAAGGTAATGATAACTTAGTAACTGACCCACAGTCCTTTGACCCTTGACTTTGTGAATTTTGACACCATTGTTGCTACTGTGATTCGTCCCCTTTGTTTTCTTCCTTGATGCCTACCTGAGCCCCGAGTTACAGTTCTTGAGTTTTTGATGAAAAATAAACAGTCAGTATATAAAAACTGCACTATGCTATATCTTACTTTGGTGACCACAGAGTGAAGAAAGTAGAAAGGTTTTTTTCTTGTGGGGGTGGAAGTATATATACATACATACATACATACATACATACATACATATAATTTTACTATAAGGCATCCATACTTTAGATTCATGCTTTATTCCTTTATGTGAATGTCTGCTTCTGTTGTCACCAGGTAAATTGGACAAATAAATTCTCTCAATTTTCTTTCCATTTATGAATATAAATGGAAATGATTAAAAAAAATCCAGCCTAGTGCAGTTTTAAGTTCATGGTGTTTTGACAAAATCCCCAAACCCTTTATACTGTAACTGTGTTACCCCAGTGTGATGTGAGCATAAAAAACATGTTTGTGTAACCAATCATGTTACTTTTATTATTTATTTCTTTTTTTTTTTTATTTGAATATGTAACTATGAGAATACCTTGTTTTCTTTTTCTCTTGTTTTTTAAATTCTGAATTACAACTAGATGCTGTGTGGTAGAGGTGGGAATCACCATATATCCCACGATACGATATTATCACAATATTTAACGCACGATACGATATTATTGCAATTTTTTAAAATATTTTGCGATATTCAGATTCTGTACATAAAGGTAAACTTTATCAATATTCATTTTATCTAATAACAAAGTCTCGCACTCAGTCATTCTCTCATTTCAGTCAGTTTTATTGTTGACAAACTGAACGGTTTGTATTACAGTCTAGTCCAACTTAACTGAATGCAACCATCTGGTACAATTATAGCTATTCTAAACTATGCAATTTGTGAAAACTATGCAGCCCCTTCAGCAAATGAAGAATTTGAAAGTAAATTAAAACAAAATATAATTTTACATTAAATAAAAAAGTTTTAAACTTAATTAAAATAAAACATGTCTTAAATTAAAATAAGCAAACTGTCATGTTTATTGCTGCAATAAAAAAAGTTAAACACATTTGGACAGCGAAGGAATGTCAGGATTCTTGCTCAGAAAAAGGAGCTGATCAACATGCTCTGAAGTCAGAGCATGTTCCAGTCCACAAAAACTTTTTTTGTAACAAAATATCGATTTCTGCTGTCCCTGTATCGATACATTATTAGCAAACAAAATATCAGGGATAGCTCAGTAGGTAAAGTGGTCGCCCCATGATCGGAAGGTCGCCGGTTCGAATCCACTTAACGGCTACCCTGAGGTACCCCTGAGCAAGGTACCGTCCCTACACACTGCTCCCCGGGCGCCTGCTTAGTGGGCTGCCCACTGCTTCACTGAGTGAATGGGTCAAATGCAGAGAAAAACAAGTAATTTCCCCATGGGGATCAATAAAGTATCCATTATTATTATTATTATTATTATTATTATCACGATACTACACAGTATCGATTTTTTCCCCCACCCCTACTGTGTGGATGTTTGACCCAAATATATAGGCTTGCACCACATCAGCAAGAAAAGATGAAAGATCTGTCAGTAAGCATGAAAAAAGTAAAGTTGGTAAAATGTCTGGCCATTGGCATGGCAGTGATTGTACTGTAATTTGGGTTTTTAATATTCATATCCTTTTGGGTTTCTGTTGGGTTTGAGCCAAGTTGTCAAAGCTTTTTATTATTCACTGAGAATGCAGAGTGTAACAAGATAGAAAAAGGGAATACAAAACCAAGAGATATATACTACTACAATTAAAAATGGTGCTTAAGCGTCCATCTATGGCTTCACAGTGTTGCTAATCGTGCCACTATGTGAGAGTGTATTTACCGTTTCCTGTTGTTCACCTTTTATGCCTCTGTTCAAGGATGCTAGTGTTTTTGTTTTCTTTATCCTGTTGAATTTTAAGCATCCTCTGCAGGCTGCTCACAGACTCTATACTAACACTGGCTGCTGTCTTACAATGAACCCAAATGCATGGAAAAGCGTCATTTACTGAACAGCGACATCTTTAATAATGGCTCATATTATTCATAGCATTCCTGTTTGCTTAATGTTCGCCAAAAGCGATTCTGTTGCATGCAGTGCAGTTAACAGTGTAATTTTAGATGCTAGAGATTCACACTAGTATATGAGAACACTACAGACACACTCAAATGTCAGACCCCATTAGCTTGGATGAGAAACTCAAAAGATATACTTGGATCAGGCCTGGGCTTTACTAGGGATACACCGATTGTGGAGTTTGGGCTGATAGTAAGGATTTCTTAGTATGTGCCTGGGAAACAAAGTACAGTTTTAATATCATTGTGCTTTATTTAAATAATTCATTGTTGCTGACTTTTACTTCAACTACATTATATTTTGAAACAAACATTGTACTTTGTACTCTATACCATAACATAACACTTGAAATGCTTAGTATTTTGCAGATGTTAACTATATAAAGTCACTAATATATAATGTTTTATTAATATAGCTAAAGTTACCTATTACTATATTAGCAATTTAAATAACCTCCAGCTGAAACATTAAAATGAAATACGCATTAATGTTTCAATAATTATGATCCAATGATTCAAGCAGCATAATGTGTTCTTTTGACATTGTAGGATTGTGATTTTAATTAGGTAAAGGGTCTTAATAGTTCCTTTACCACTTAGCAAAACAGTTATTTAATATGAAACAATTTTCTTTTCCTACGTAGTCCCATTTTACACATAATGCTTTTTATAACAGGGTTCAGGGTTGCACACAAGCATGAAAAATCATGCTATATCTTTTTCTAAGCTGTATTTCTGCTATTTCTGGTCAACCATTATGACCAGAAATAGCACTGCCTTGTTCTGGTTACCCGATTTGTGTTACCAATACACTGTTTAAAAAAAGCAAAACAAAACAAACAAAACAGCTCCATACTTCCTCTTCACTGGTGAAATCAAAGGCTGTCTAATATCACACATTTACTGTTACAGTATTTTCCAGAAGAGAACTGAAAGATTCATATAAAGTATTCATGATTCTTTGAGTCATCTGAAGCCAAACCACATAGTAGTATCCAATGGGAATAGAGTTAATCGAAAAGCCCTACATGACAACTCCTTTAATTTAAAAATTTTCTTCAAGATAACTAGTGAAAAAACACCTTCATTTTTATTTTTCTGAGGATATAAGACAATCCAGCTGACTTTATTTACATTTTGGAAGAACATGTGACTGCAGCGAGAACAGTCCCAAAAACCACTGTTCTTCATTTTTACTTTTTAGGTACTTTGCTTTGGGCATTTCTCCTTTATTGGTTTTTCCCTCATATATTAAACCCAGTTCACTTGCCATGTCGCTTGTGGTCTCGTTATTTCAGCCATGCGAGAAACCAAGGAGGCCTTGGAGAGCGTTAATGCATCTCTGGAGGTGCTTCAGGATGGAACAGGGAAACTGAGCCTAAACCTGGGCCAAGTCCGGACCAGCATCAACCACACCCTAAATGACACTGACTGCCATGATGAAGACTCGGATGCTACCACAGCCCAGCTATGCCGCAACATTCGCCAGTCGTTGTCCCAGCTGCAGATCAGCTCAAATTTCACACGGGTACAAAACTGTAACTGTGGTGCTCTTTTTGGCACGTGTTTGCAATAAAATTGTTCACACTTAAAAATCAGGCTTAAGTACTTTGGGCTAATGGATAAGTTCAACGTTTTCTGCGTCTGTCTTAAAGTAATCATCTACCTTTCTATATTGACCCTAAAGATTATGCATTATATTAAGCATTAGAAATAATTGTTTTGTCCCATTGTTTCTCATGCAGTGTGCTGCACAGTGAAATACAGCAATAGAAAGGTTTAGGTTATTTTTTTAAGGAGTTATTTGAACTAGTGAAAAAAATAGATTTCTGAACAGCAATCAGGAATTGTTACATTTTGATAATTTCTTATTGCAAATACTTATCAAAGCTGTGTTTTTCACTTGTTAGCTACCCGATGTGAATGCACAGCTGGAAAAGATGAACGATGTATTGAAAACAGACCTCAGCGCTGTCGTTCAGAGGGTGAGCATGAACCACATTAATTGGAGTTTTTTTGTCTTCCAGTCTATTTTCTGATGTATTTTGTCAGTTTTCTTGTTTAGTTGTTCATCTTTAGTTCCTGATTTTTTTTTTCAAATCCAACCAAAACCACAAAATGGACAAAGAAACTTGGTGTTCCTTCTTGTTTTTCCTCCTTTCACAGGGCTTCTCCTCTTTGAATGACACGCCGCATATGGTGATTGAACAGACCAGAAGTGTTGTTGAGAGTAAGTGGCTTTTGAACCGATGTTTTTCTGAAATCAAACACAAAAGTTAATAACTCTTGATATATGTTATTACAATAAGTGCTTATATAAATGAATGGATTTTTGTGTTCTCCTTGCACTCTCTGCGTTTCTCTTTATGTTTATTTTGTTATGTACTGTAAGTTTGTTTCTTGTAGCAAGAATGGGGCCTTTTTGAATTGCACAGATTTCACTTTAAACATTTGTTGATATCGTAGTCTAATTCAATGTTAAATTTAAATCCGGGTTAATATTTTTCCTAAAATGGTAAAACTGATGAATTTATTTATTTTTCAAGTATCTTTACACTCTTCATTTTTTCTGTTTTGAAAAAATGATTTCTCTCAGGTGTAACAAATTTGGTGGATAGCATTGGCAATAACATCAGCAGCTTTTCCAAGGCATTCCCAGTGCAGAGCTGCCTGTCCAACTTCACCATCTTCATTAACCATGTGCACGCCAAGATTGAAGACTACTACCCAGAAATTGACAAAATGGACTTCTACAGGTATTCTTCTTCACTTCACAAAGCATATCTGTGTATTTATAAGTGCTTTGCATAAAAGGAAAACCTCTAAGGGTAAAAGTAAAAAAAACATTTTTATTAAATAGAAACTATCATGTAAATGTGCTGAAACGAGGTAACTATATTAATGCAATATGCCTGATGTTTGACATTTATCTTGCTTTATGTTTTTTCTCTTTTCCTTTTTAGTAAGCTTTGTGTTCTATTTTCATTGTACCCATCCTAGTTTCTGTGCTTATGTGCTTTTTTGGCTGTATAAGCAAGTGGAGCAAAGCTCTCTTTCTCGAGGATGCTTTGACAGTTTGTTGATATAAACCACAGTGGGAACTGTGCTTATTTATATTTTGGTAAACCACCTTCTGTGAGATCTCTAATAGTTTGGCTTTGCCTGCTGCCTTCAGGTGGATTGGCTGCATTGCTCTTTGTTGCATGGTGGTCCTGGTCCTGGCCTTCAACTACCTGGGCCTGCTGTGCGGCACGCTGGGCTATGACAAACATGCCTCACCTACAACACGGGGCTGCATCTCCAATACGGGAGGAACGATGCTTATGGCGTAAGTCCAGTATGCAAAGTGTAAAAAGCTGCCACAACTCAGGTTTATGTTACTATTTTACAAGTACAACTGTAGTATAACTGTACATGTTCTAGTAGTTTTTACAGTTATTAAAACTGTACTATGACAGACAGCTTGTTTCACTATAAAGCTACAGTTCACTGTGTTAGAATTGTACACATCAGCTGTACCACAGGGACTATTTGTTCTTCTCCACAGTGGAGTTGGATTTAGCTTTCTCTTCTCCTGGGTACTGATGGGAGTGGTGACCATCATTTTCCTGGCTGGAGGGAACATGGAGAAACTTGTGTGCGAACCATTCCACACCAAAGAGCTTTTCAAGGCAAGTCATGCAATGATAAGGGAGATAAAATGTAAACAGAGTGTTTTTTGATTGTGTAAAAGTGGATCCCACACATAAAGCATACAAAGGGCCCTGCTTTCAAAGATTAATATATATTATTAAATAAAAGTCCTACTTGAAGAGTAAAAGAAACATTCTATATATTTTTCTTTGAAAACTGACTGTAATTCATAGAAAAATCCAACGTGTGTATCTGTGTGTGATACAACTAAAAATGTAAATAGTGAACAAAGTGACAGTCTCACTTTAGCTTCATACATTCAGAAGTGAATATTTTCAGACACAGCACACTGTGATCTCTCTTCATTACCCACTGTGGTGAAGCTGAGGCCGGCATGTGCTTCGTCATAGTGTTTAGTTTTTGTTTTGGTGGTTGTGACATTTGGTGTAGATTAATCTGTTTTAGCTTTACTGGGCAGTCCTCTCAAAAACGTGTCCATGCATTGTTAGCAGTGCAGAACCAATGTGTCATTTTCATTCAGCTTCACTCCACCCCGAGTTATAATTCTGAGATCCCACAGTCTGGGAACCACTGGCACAGATAATTGTTAGTATAAGCACACTACATAAAACTTGGTGTCCCTTAGGTGGGCTCATTGGAATAGCATTTGCTACCAGTTGTCAAGGGCAAGCTGTTATGTGCGTTAAGTCTGAATGCATCTGCACTCAACCCATCCATAATTCAGAAGATCTAATTTTGCCTCAAGTTTAAAAAACAAATAAAGAAATGGGCAAAAAAAGGCTGAAATATTCTGCCATTTTTCTTAATTTATGGTGCATCGGCACTCATGAAAGAGAACGAAGTTTGTCAGATTTGGAGCGGGGTCTCTTAAGTAATTTATAGAAGTTTCTGCAAATGAAATTCATTTTCAGCATTTTCTTCTGTGCCTCCATGATTGCTCTTCTCGACTTTCTTGCCGCCTCAGTGAGGACGAACTGCATCGTGGATGATGATGTGCATTTGTTTCTAATTTGAATTTACAATAATGAATTTACTGATGGATTCATTTTGCTTCTCCATAGGAATTATTGATTATACATCCTGTTTCCTGCTCTCTAATTCACCAGGTTGTGGATACTCCATATATGATCAACCCAGAGTGGAAGAACTTCATCCCTGGCTACATGTACAACGACTCTGAGCTGAAGTTGACAACAGAGAGCTTATACAGGCAAAGAAAATGATTTTTTGTGTATTTAGATGACACTGTCATGCCATTATTCTCACACCCTTCTCCACCTGTCTTCTCTATATTTCATGCATACACTAGTTTACAACAATATGAATGATTTTTTTTCAGCAAGACAACCCATTTATCTAAGTATAGTCTGCAAAATTAATCGATGATGCTGTTTTTCATTTGGCTTATGGTCAGACATCAAGCATGTGACTGAGTATCTTGTTTCCATTGATGGAAATGCAAATGAGAAAGAAGGAGAGGGTTACTATTAACCTGGCTTTGCTAATTAGGATCGTTTTTTTCTACGCTGTCTGCACTGCTTTTCTGCAGCCCCTTTCTTAGTGATTACACGAGCTTTCATCATCTTCCTGCAGTGTGATGCTGCACATTCTCAGTATACTGGGATGGCAGATTCATCGTCACCATTTTCAAACAGAATGTGTTTTCAAGTTTTCACACTTTATAAAGCAAGTCTAAGATATGTGGCTACCTAAATGCTTTCAAGGCATTTTTAGCTTTAATATATTTGCAAACATTTTAAGCTTTTCGTGAATAATACACTGTCTCTCATAAATGGACATATTAGTCATGTACTTCCAGTCAGTTTCACTTGGTGGCAGCAAATATTTTTACTATGACAGAAAGTTACATATTGATATTTCTCTTTCTCTCTCTCTTTCTTTTATTTCCCCTTTCTGATATTTCTGTGTGTATTTGTTTTCGTGTACTTGTCTTCATTAGTACTTGCAAAAAGAACCAAGGCATCTACTCTGCCATGCATCTGGACAAAGTCTTCAATATTTCCTCTTACCTGAACACCACAGTGGTTAGTAACCTTTACGTACTCTGTTGTAGTTATTATTATGATAGGATGCTGTCTTATAATAGCTGAGCAACTAAAATAGCTACTTTTTTTCTCCTAAAGTGTTATACACTTTACATTACTAGTTCATATAAAGATACATGATATTAACCTTTAATAGGACAAATTTTAATCAGCTGAAAAAGAATAACTCTGATGTTGCTCACATATTAGGGTAAAGTCAGGGTAATCTTTGTCCACGTGTAACATTTTCTCTCTTCCCTCCCACTCGCAAAACATGATAAAACAGCTGGATTAAAAACGACTCTACAGGAAATAAGGTCCCAGACATCTGCAGTCAAGGCTGCATGCAGTACTTCATTTGCATTACCTTATAAGTTCTTAGGTCCCAAACTAAAAGGGATGCTGACAGCTGATAATTTCAGCATGCTTTAGCCCTTAAGTCAGTGTATGCCTGTGTGACATTATATTGATTTAAGCCAGCCACTTCTACATTCAGCACTTTCCTGACACTTGGCACAATTGCCTTGACTCATTGTCGCCAACAGATGATATGTTCCATGCGGCTTCTGGATATTGTTCATTTTTCTTCATTAAAGCCTGAAAAACTTTCTAAAAGTCTGACACTTTTTATTCTGTTAATTTACCAATCATACAAGCTATAAGCAGCAAATCTAAAAAGCCCCCCCCCCCCTATTGTGAATATACATCTATTCTAAGGAGAGCTTCCCTCATTTAAGCTAACATGCTTGTTATCACCATAGTAACTCTAATTTATCTCACTGTATAAATGCACAGCAGTTTCTCACATGGCTCTAGGTTGTATGCAGCATGGGTGCTAACTTTAACACCAAATGGTGACATGAAATATTATATTATATAGTCTATGATCTATACCTTTGAATTGATCATAAGTATTCACATTTCAAAATTCATTACAAAAAAAAGTTTTAAAAAAATTAATATTTTCAGGCAGTAAATGGGGGTGTCATTGGCGTATGTGGATTCAGTGTATGGAGTGTTGCACAGCTCATCTCTTTGTAGAATTTTCTATATTAAATAAAAGTTGTGCAACCCATCACATGCAGGACATTTCTAGTGTTATTGGAAACACATAAACATACAACCATGTCATCTGAGAACAGCTTTTATTGTCAGTATTTTTGGTCTGGTTGTCTTTAAAGTGCCACAAAACAACAACTTCTTTTTTGGTTGTGAAATTACATATTTCTATTCACGACATCCTTCACGAAAATCACACTTGCCAAGATATGTCTCGGTACGGCTATGGCTTTGCTTTTTGGGACAACAGTCCTTAAAGCATACAGTCCAGTGCAAGCAAAAGTACTCTTACTATTTAATATTAAATGAAAGGATTATGTAGAGAAATGTATGACTGGGGACTGTAAAACAAAAAAAAATCAAGAGAAAACATCACTGGTATATGTAGACTTCCATCCAAACCACATCTTTAAGATTTTGGGTCGCTCGTGTGCCAACATTTGTTTTGTGTTTTTGGAAGCCTTTCATTATTTTCATGTCTATACAGTCACAATACTGGAAATTTACTCAAAGTCCTAAGATTACCAGATTGTCTTTTTTTCTGATATGTCAAGAAAATTGGAACATACACATAAAATATGCATGAATAACATTTAATATATACATTCTAGAACAACTAAACAAAAAAGTATTTTATATCTTTGTGTTAACAGTTCACAAAGGATGTGGTCAGTCAGCTGGACAGTCTTAAGATCGACTTGAGAGGCATAATCCTGTTGGAGGCAGAGGGAAGGCAGAACCTCCTGGATTTCTCTGAAGCAGGGCTGTCAGAGATCAACTACGCCGACTACCTGGAGGAGGTGACGCATCAGCACAAGCATACTGGAATGAGCAAACACATCAGCGGGAAAGAAAAAAATGTGAAACACAAATAAATCCCTTAAAATATGCATGAATGAAGGGGGAAGGGCATAATTGGATAATCAGGCACACAAAACCACGCAGGAAGTAGTGTGGTTTTGTGTGCCTGCAAGGGACAGGCCAGCATACACAACAAAGACAAGAAGCAATACACAGAAGGAGACACACACAATATTTGTGTAAAACAGCTACACAACCAAGGTATTTCTTTGTGATTACTAGACTGAATTGTTCTGTAGATGCACCGGTTTATCTGAGAAAGCACAATCCAAGTAGAAAGAGTGGGGAGTCAAATAATAATGAATTGTTATAAATTCTTACATAATTACACACAAACATATTTCAGCTGTGCTTTAATGGTGTGCTACCAGAAATAGCTCACTTCTGTGGGCGCAGTCTAAGAGGCACCTCCACTGCTGTCAGTTAACATACAACAGGCAGCCATGCTTCGCCTGATAAGAGCTTCAGTGTGATACAGAACAGTGGGTTTCGTCGAGGACCACTGCAGCTCAATTATCCAAAGGTGATCCTGCCAAGGCAAAGAGGATGTAGGAACAGGCAGGGACTTGGCATTTCATGTCTTGTCTAACACAACCCGTCAGGTTCCCTTAGAATTATTTCCCCAGAGTGACTGAAAATAAAATAAAAAAAGCTTTAAAGACTGACTGATACTCAACGCACACACCCTGCAAAAGTCAAGCTGACACATTTTTATGTGCAGCATGTCTCTCTGCTGTCTGTTGGAAATAATATAAGTGACAAAAAGTTATATTAAATAGCTTTCTAGCGGTCTAATTGACTGGAATCTGTGCAGTTGAAAAGCTGCTACAGAAGAAACTACAGGATGAAGGTGAAAATGTAGCTAAAAGAAAAGGAGTGGACAAAAAAACATCTTTAATTTAACTTTGCTACTATAAAGGAAAACAACCTTACTTTTTATATTTTGTTCTCTTTTACTTTGATGTCTTTAGGTGAATAAGGGGGTCACTGTAGTGGATCTACTCTCATTTGCCAGAGAACTGGAGGCCCAGACAGACCTGATGGTAAGAATCTGACTTTTATACAAGCACCCAGTAGTGGTTGTATAAAGTGTTTTCTTTTGTGTGCACACTGATTTAATTTGCTTATGTACTTACAATGCCACAGGAGCACTTGATGGCAAAAAATGAAAAGAAAATATGTGTGTTCTTGCTCTCTAAGCTCTCTTTCAACGGCTCTGCCTGAACAAATAAAAGCTCTCAATGATGTGTGACTGCCGTCCATTGCATTTAGGGCAGCACAACATGCTCATTCACTTTCAATTTCTAAGTCCATTAGGGTCCTGTAGAAAGATGGAGTTTGTAGTTAGTTGATTTTAGAGAAAGGGGCTTTTAAAGAGATTTTAATCTAAAGGTCCCATAAGTTTGTTGTCCTGAAGTAAACCCAGCTGTTCCGTAAATTCAATAATTTGATTCCTCTCCTGGATGAAAGGGATAAAGAACTATATTCTAATGTACTGTTATATAAAAGGCAAGGAAAAAATTAAGAATGTATAATATATGTGCTTCAATTCCATCTAAGCCTTTGATATATTTATCTTAATATATTTCAAGATTGTGTGGTTGTTTGTGCGTTTCAGCCCAAAAGTAATCTGCAGTCTGCTCTGAAAGGCCACGTTAGCACTCTGCGGCAGATCCACAGGCAACAGATCGTCCCAATGGAGCAATCCATGGTAATGCCCTACTGTGTTTCTCTGTTTACTATTGAGATAGCTATTTCTGTTTTCTGCTTAGATTCATTTAGTTATTCTCTTTGAGGAAAGATTCGTCCTACATCATTTCAAAACTATGTGCCAGTGGTTGCTGATTTGGTTGCTGGTCCACTGTCTTTACTTTTCCCACCTCAGTGGGTAGTTGATTTTAGGCTTTTTAAACCTGAGGCCCTACTTGCACAGGCCTATACTGTGTACTGGTTGGTAACTACTGGTCGGTAAGAAAAAAATGTGCATTCCCCAGCAAGTTGGTGAATTGTTGCTGGAGTTTGCTGGCAGTCGCTTGGTGAAATGGGTCACGTCATCATTTGCTTTCAAAGTATATGTCGTGCCTTTTGAAACATTTTGGTTTCCAAGATAGGCAGACAGTCTCCATTTCCAATTTGTGACACACTTTTTCAAGTGTCATTACCTTTTAGTGGTTAGCCTCATGAGTGTCTGCGGACCATTTAGTGTCATCCATGCAAAGTACCATGGACTGCTAGTGATATAACCTATCACAACACTGAGGTAGAGCAGGTCATCTACTGATCAGAAGGTTAATGGTTCGATCCCTGGCTCCTCCAGTCTGTATGCCAAGTATTCTTGGATAAGATACTAACCCCAAATTGCTCTCCGATATGTTCGCACTAAGAAACTTAGAAGACGGTGCTTGTGTGATTGGGTGAATGCACCATGTTGCTTTGAGTACTCCAGGAGAGTAGAAAAGCGCTATATGGGAATCAGTCCATTTACAAGGAGGAGTTTGTTGCAGCACCCTTTTTACAACCTATTTCATACAGTAACCTTGAGGACCACTCAGTCAGACTGGGGATCGCCAACTGGTCTCTAGGCCTGTGTTACTGACGCCTAACATAACACTTTGTCTGGTGCCAAAATACAGAGACATAAGCAACCAGTGGCTAGTTGAGCTCCATATTTTACTTGGGATTAGGGCTGGGCCATATCATACCATTCACGGTAATACCGGTATAATGTTGGGCAACAACAAGAAAATGAAATATCGCGATAGAATTTGGGTAAAATGCGCATGCGCGGTGCCTTTGTTTTCATACGCATATGGGAAAAAGCATGCCGGCGGCGACGGAGAATGAGGAAGGCGAAAGCGGATCGTTGAATGAAACGGATGAACCAGAATTGGTTTGTAAAAATGCTGCAGCTTCAGTGGTGTGGAACTGGCACACTTTAAATCAATCCTTTGATTTTTCTGAAAATCGACAGTGGCCCTTTATAATCCCGTGTGCCTTATGTATGAATTCTGGTTGTGTTTACTGACCTCTAAATGATTTTATGTGCTACACAGCGCTCGCAAATCTGTCAAATGTTTTAGTACGACTTTGCTAAGCTACGAACCCGCACCGCTTGATGGATTGTTGGAGCATTACGGCTATCATAGGCGGAGCCTCGCGGAGTGATACGTACTGTGCTTCAACATAATATTGCCGTATTATGTGTGTATAACCTCTTTTTAAGTTTTGTGGATATTATACATGGTTATGCTGAGGATATGTCGGCCAATTTCCACTGGAAATGCCTTTTGGTTAAACTGTCAGCGAGGAATTTGAATTTGCACTGTTAAATTTATATATAACTTTAATGCACATAAAAAAACAGCTGCTTGTTTAAGTGAAAATACATTGATGGTTTTGGGGTTTTTTTGCACTAATAAAGTTGTGGAGTTGTAAAGTATTTTGTTTAGTGTCAATTATATCGTCAGTTATATCGTTATCGCAAATTTACAAATGTATATCGTGATAAATATTTTTGGTCATATCGCCCTGCTCTACTCGGGACCACAACAGAGCTAAAAGACATGAGCCCTGTAGATTTATTTTGTTATAAATGACTATATCGATATGTGTTAGATATCAGGATCCCAAACTCAAAGCTACCAAGTAGGAGTATTTTCTGTTAACATTTGCAAATATATATTTCAGAGAATTACATAAACCTTGACAGAGATAAGACATTTATATGATTCATTTAATATAATTTAAATGGGAAATTCTGACCCTCAGGCATGTGTCATCTAAGACATGACTGTGAAAAACAAATTAAATATTCAGTTTTATGCCACTCTTCTGAATAACAGCAATTATTTACAGCTACAAGCAGTTCAGACGAGCAGTGATATTCTTCAACACAGATTTTTACAGCTGCTTTTTTTTATGTTGTTCTTTTTCCTCTTTCAACTTCAAGAAGTATGTTAGAGCAAGGGTAAGCAGAAATGCGTTCGTCTTGTGTAATAAGTGTCCCCATTCGTTATGTGGAACATTAACAAACACTGACATCATTTAGAGCAATTTTATTTATTTTTTAAAAAAGAGGTGGGAAAAGTCCAATTTTAGGCTGCATTGTGTGTTTTTATTAAATGTACATTATACTCATGTACTCTGGTGTTATACGTGAAGAGTTTTGTGCTAAAATGTCAGAAATATCCACTTAAAGAAAAGAAATGTTGTGTAGCAACCCTATCTACTTAGTCACTAGTGGAAGCAAAGGAAAGACCGGTTAGTTGTTGCATATGTTACAATTAATTGGCCTTTGAAGCTAACTGAATCATGTTTTTCTTTTCGTTGTGGATATTTAATTTTGGAACAGAACTCTTTAGCATGCAAAGATGTTATTCATCAAGTGTCGGTTGATTCTGGTTTCCATTTCTGTTTCACTGGCTTATTTTTTGAACGGATGTCATTAACCTCTGAACTTTGACCTTTATACCTAAAATTTTGGTGCTCTACAGAGTGCGCTGAACCAGAGTATGAGGTTCCTGGAAAGAACAGCCTCTGATCTTCCTGTAAGTAAAATAGTCCTCAAGTTTAAGTCAGAAATAATTTAATCATCATCGTCTAAACGAAACCCGTTGTTTCTTCTCCGTAGAACAAAATCTTAGCTGTTCTTGATGCCATCAAAGCTGCGCAGTTCCTCATCTCGCAGAACGCTACGCATTTAATAAATCGGGTAACAGCTGAATTATTTTTCTTTGCTTTTATACTTGATTTGTATAAAATGCTGTACTTACATTGTGTCCTAATCTTCCTTAGGAGTCCAGAAAGTACACCAACACCATTATTGGCTACTTTCATCAATACATTGAATGGGTGAAAACATCTGTAAGTTTTGGTGTTCTAATTTGCTATTTTTTCTAAGAAGGGGAAACAAAATTACAGTTTTGCAAAAAAGGTTGTTTGTTTGTTTTTTGTTTGTTTGCTTTTTTTGTTTGTTTGTTTTTTTTAAGCAAATATCAACCTGTTACTGATCATTAAGAACCTGCACCAAGATTTAGATAGCACTTCCACAAACGATGAAAACTTCAATCAGCAGATATGATATTTATCATATCTGATATATAGTACACGGCTCATTCTTTGTCTTATTTCAGGAATGATGTAAAGCTCATATTAAATCTTTCTTTTCTCAGGCAGATTTAGATACTACGACACTAGAGAGCTGGACACACAAGACATTTTAGGTCTCAGGCTCTACAGTAGTCAGATCGCATTTAAATCTGCCTTTTACTTGAATCGTCTACATTGAGACTTTATATTGTCGACTCACATTGATTCCATTGGAATCACTTCAAGTCTTCCAATAAAATGTTTCAAACTACAAAGAATAAAATTCAGAAGGAATTACAAGAAATAATTCTCAGTAACACCATATTTCACTTGCTGGAATGTGAACATTCTGTCTCCCTTTGAAGGTGTGGGTCTATTTCTCACAGTGTTAATTTAGCCTGAAGCGAATGTTGCATTGCAAAACTTTGCATGTTGCATAAAGGTTTTGGAGTGTATAAAGAAAAGTCAAATATAACAGTTACGACCTCTATAAATTTGAGGAATTTGCTCTGTGGCATGTTGGTTTCTGCTTTAGTTAACTAAAGGAATGAAAGTAAAAAAAACAAGATGCTTGAATCATGAAGCTTTTCTGTTGATCTCAGAAGTCTCTTTTTGTTTGCCAAGAACACTGCAGGGAGACGTTGTGCAATTGTTTACATCTCCAAGACAGACTTTAACGTGCAACGTAATTGTACAGTGTTACTGAATCTGTTGTGTGTTGACATTTCCTGTTTATATCCTCTGTAGCTGGCTATGGAAGTTGCACCATGCAAGCCCTTCAGCAACATGGTGGACACAGCAGAAATCATGGCTTGCAGTTTCGTGGTTGACTCTATGGTAACAATATTAGAAGACAGAGCCTGTTTAAACAGACTTGTAACAGATTATATTTGGGTTAAAAACTCTATAACTGAGTAAAGAAGGTTGATTCCCACTGTAAAAGTCACATCCAGTACTGTTTTGATGGATGGTTATGAGCATAGCAAAAGTGTGACAGTTTTAAATGGCTCTAACTGGAGCGACTACTGTCTATCTTAATCTATTATTCATTTGATTTATATAATGTCCTGAGGGAAGACATATTTTATATTACTTGCATAGCCTGAACTTTTGCATGAAATCTTTCCTCAGTAATAACAGAAGGCTAAAATAATTATGAATTTATATCCTGATGGGTTATCATTTCCACCCTAAGTACTTGCCTTTCCAACAGAACACTTTCTGGATGGGCCTGGGCTGCAGCACTCTCCTCCTGCTCCCGAGCATTATTCTAGCAGTAAAACTGGCCAAGTACTACCGCAGGATGGACACAGAGGATGTTTACGATGAGTGAGTATTTGTACATGCTCTTCTACTTTTCCCTTAAATGTATTTATAGTTTTCATATTAAATACCTAGTCAGTGTAAAGTTAAGTAACATCTACACTGCCCTGTGAATGTCCACATACTGTAAGACAGTTTATATGTCACATTTTGATAATGGTTGCAGGACATCCTTCTGTTATTTCTATTCTGTCTTTTCTATCTGCTTTGTGCATGTTGAGCTGCAAATCATATGAAGGAATCAAGTTTTTATTTTTTATATAAATATTTTAGCTGAATTTTTGGGGTTTATTGCAGTCAAATGAACTTTGAATGGGTCTTGTTTGTCACGTTGGCTCTACAAGTTTACAGTTGACTTTCTTTTCCTCCCTTTTCTCCTCTCTGTAGTTCCTCTGTTTCTGGGACTTGGCATTTCACTTTGTGATAACCATTTCTACTATTTCCATTTCCCACATCCCTTATTTAAACTTTCATTTTTTCCCCATCACTCTCTATCAAGCACTTGGCACTTTAAAAAGAAGCATTGGCACATCTGTTTGTTTATTTTTCTTCTTTACACACATTTTTTTAACGTTCATTGACTCTGCAGTCATACAGTAGTTTTTTCTATAACGTCTCGGATGATCAATGGCATCCCTTACTTTGTAATCTGACTGATTACAAGAAACTATCTGGTGCATTTCCTTTACCAACTTAATGATGTTATGTTGCTGGTTTTTTTTTCTTTTGTGTGTATCTTTATAGCCCTGAGACAATTCCCATGAAAACGTAAGACATTTTATCCACCTCCCTCTCCTTTTCAACGTCTCTCACTCTGTGCTTTTCTCTGATTCTTGTACATAGAACTGTTTACTAAATTCTTGGTGCTGGTTTGCATTTCTAAGCTTGGAATTGCTCTTATGGGTGGATGGTGTGGCTTCTTGTCATGTGCTACCTTTTGAAAAGTGCCCCTTACCTTTCATGAAGGGCTCTTGCAATCATTACCTTACAAGTCCACCTGTTTTTGTAAGTTATAGTGTAAATAACAACAACATGGTTTCTACTCCAAATATGTGTACTTCCTAACATCTTTGAAAAGTTTAGCTTCTCAAAAAAAAAAGAAAGCATTTGTATGCAAGCATTTCAGCATGGCGTATTACCTTACATTTTTCATCGCTCTTTTTTTGTTTTTGTTTTTGTTTTTACAATATTTTGTTTTCAGTATGGAAATTGGTAATAATGGTTATCATAGTGAGCACTTACAAGGTATTCCTAATCCTATGATGACAAGGTAAACATTACATTAATCCTGTTAAGTGCATGTGATGGTGGAGGTGGAAGCATGCCGGAGGAGCTTGGCCTGGCATAGTGCAAGACTGCAGGGGAGCTGATTCATTGCATGTACACGTGTAGACATATTGAATATCTGGAGGTCATAAAATTGAAAAGTAATGGCAGCAGAAAACGTGAAAACCTAAAAAGGCCAGCAGAGTATTATCAACAAATTGTGTGATGAATTGCAGTATCTAGATTCTGTAGGATTAGAGGAGAACAGGATGGTAACGCCATGACTTCTGTGCAAGCACTGAGCAATGCAAGAGGTACTAGTGTAATTTAAAGGCTGGAAGTAAAGGAAAATGGATAGCCCGGCTTTGTGTAAGATGAAAAAAATCTAATTACCCGGGCCTCTAATGCTCAACTATTATGCAAAACAACCAGTGTTGGAGGTGGAGGAGTATTCAAGTGCTTTACATAGTATTATTTATTAAGATACTAAAGTGTTGTGGTTGGTTGATGTAGTTTTTCTTCTTCCTCCACCTTTAATGTTTTTAGTTACATGTTTAGTTAGGAACTGCTGCGATTGCTTTTCACTTTCTCATTTTGCCAGTTTTTTACTTTGTGTCTTTTGAGGAATATGTTACTAACTAGGCATGCTCTCTGTGCACACGTTCTGGTGGAGTGAAGAATCTTCCTCTTTCCTCTCGTTTAGAGTCAGCCAAAGTCCGATGAATGTACACCTGATCATTATGTTCAGAGAGAGGCAAGCATGTCAAGCTTTTGTGTGATGCTGGAAATGCTCCTTTTATTTGTTTTCCCTTAAACTAACAAAACATCTAATTGCATGTTATGTATTTTTAAGTTGCATTTGGACGAGGATGAATTTGGCCAACCAGCCAACCTTAACAGGCGCTATAGGCAGAGAGCAAAACAGCTAAATTACAGATGAGTCCAGTCTCAAGATGGTCTTTGCTTGTGCAGTTTTCCTCACTGTCCTACATTTCATATGAGATGCAGTTCATATTTCTTTTAAATACAAATATGAGATGGAATGAAACCTGCATTTTCCTTTATTTATCCAGTTAAAAGTCCAAGATCTAGCCAAAGCTCTCTAAAAAAATAAAGGGGCAGTAAGTATTCTACAACCTGATGACCTTTCTCTGCTGTTCGGAACAGTCCAGGAGATGGAAAGATTTTTGCATCAGTTTTTGGTAATCTGAAGGTATTATCAATAACAACGGCAACAGCCTCGTGAAATACTACATTTCTCATTTGCAGTAATTGTACTTAATGCCTCTTTAATTGGCCGTCCAGTTTAACTGAGTCGATATCGATGCAGCTGTTTTGCTCTCTGCCTTGTGAGCCGCTCGTCTTTTTTCCTCTTCCATTTCAAATAAATGAAGAGGAGAAACCGGCGGCTTTACAAAACGATGATGGATTTGTTGAATTTTAGCTGTTAACGTTGTCTCCTTTTTGTGTATCTTGTGTGTTCTTGTGCTGGTAGCATCCCTACCTATGATACTATGAACAGGTTCCCGCGGGCCTCGGCTCCTCCGAGGCACATCGACTGGTGACAGAGCCGCCTCTTGTTCTGGCTCCTGAAAGGTACTGCAAAGCTAATGAATCAGACAACTGTTTCTCTAACATGATTTTAATTAATCCTCCTTCTTTCCAGTCTCACATCTTTCCTTCTCACAGCTGCCATCTTATCCTGACGTTCTGTCTGCAGTAACTGTGCCATCGTGCTCTCTCCTGTTTTTGGTCTTATGTTTTTGTATTTGTACCCTGACCTAATTCTCTTACTGTAACACCTCTTTACAGCTTGTTTTAGTGCATTTCTGCTCACTGAAGAACCATCATGGTGAGAATGACTAATTTTGGAATCATTAACATCTTTATTCAGTGTGACGGCTTGCTTAGTCGGTGTGCTGTGTTTGTTCTCTGTCGCTTGTAAGTTCTGTTTTGTTTTTGACAAACGCTGCATTTATGCCTTTTTCGGAGAAAATGTTAAATGTGTCACAATTACAAGCCGTGAAATACATTCAGTCACTTAGCTTTTAAGTTCCTGAAACTGAGACGCGTGAATACAACAAAGCAGTGGTAACACCTGCACTTCTCTGATGAAAAGCTTGTGTTTTTAGTGGATATAATGTGCTTTTCTCCAAATATTTTATTCTCCTTGGGTTTCTTAATGGGACCTACAAAATAATAGGAGTACTTTTAAATTCTGTGCATTCTACTATGCCATCAACACCTCACACTGCTGCAAGCTGCACTTTTTTACAGTGTTACGTCTAGACACTTTATAATGGCCATGTTGTTTTTTTGGACTGTATTGTACTGAATTGTTCCTAACTGAGTACTTGTGTCATGGAAAAGCAGAACAAGCACAGAGAAAAGCTGCAGTATCTGAAAACTAGCTGATGCAATTTTTACAGTGATGTAAACTGCCAGCTGGGTAATGGCTAACATCACATGCTGGTAATACTGTTGCAGTCCAAGTGCTAGATGTAATGAATTGCACAATTAATTGTTATTTTCTTAATTTATTAAGTTTTATTTTATTTCTGAGAAAAAACTTATTTTCAACACTTGCAGGCTTTCTTTATTTTGAAATAAATATTCCTATTTTTTTTTATATAATTCTCACAGTTGCAGAACTAAAAAGGACCTGCTTTTATTCTCATTTTAAATTTGGTACATGATCATGATATCTTTGAGTTGCAGTTCATTAAATATCAAATTTTTTCCAGAATCATTTTAAATTCAAAAACAGGGAAAATGCTTTAAGCTCTGTGGAAAGCAGGTTTCATGCGAGTATTGTATCCACAAAAGGCTCGGTGTAGTCTTTAAAAATATTCTCTGGAGTATGACAGACTGTTTTTTTTGCTTTACAAAGCAGCCAGAGCTCCATAAATCTCATTCAAGAAATGCAGTATGTTTTAAGTTATTTACTGAATTGTTTTAAAAAACAAAATCTTAATTCTCTTTTCTCTTAACATTTGTGTTCTCAGTGCCCTCCAAAACTGGAACTGAAATACGTCATAGTAGGTTTGCCTTTTTACTATTTTTACATTTTAAATTGAATCCACAGTGGCTTTATCAACAGAATGAGTTTCGATTCCTGGATCAATAGTTGGTATTAAAGTAGTTCAGTACTGTTGCTGTTAAAGTGACAATTTAACAAGCAGCTTACACTCTGCAAATCCAATTTTCCCCAAAGGAAGTGGGAAAGTTTGCAAAATGAGTAGTTATAGTAACTTGACAGCTCATCACTATGAAGATAACAAAAATTCTTTTGGGCCTGGGTAATTTTTAGATCTCATTTATTTATTTATTTTTGAAAATGTTGATTTGTGCTATGTGGTGCAATGAGTCTATGTAGCTTCTTTACACTTTAAAAATAATTATCATTTTAAAAAGGGCAGTGGTTGAGAAGAATGTGCACCAATCATCCATAAGATTTAAACCCCTTATCATCACAGTGGCATCTGTCAAAAGATGGGCTATATTAGGTATCAACTGAACTATTAGTACTTGAAGTTGATGTTTAGAAAGCAGCCAAAATGAGCTGGCAATGCAGTGGTAGCAGTCTGGTCACATTGCGCTACTACTGCTGGGATTGCAAATTGCTCTAAAGGAAACCCTGACAATGATGCTAAAGCTGCAGGTTGATAGCCACCCTGCTCATTATAATAAATGAGGATGGACGTTTAATGATAAAGACAAAGACCCAATTTGCTGTTTCTGCAGAATTATGTGAACAAAATCCAAATTGCATCAGATCTGTTTTTCTGTAAGGTAGCACTATGCTCAGCTCCAAATCTGGACAAATGCCAGTACTCACTACTACAGTACTCACAGTATTTTTAGAATTTGTTGTTAAGCAAGTTGCATTTGGCAGCTTCTTTGACATTGTATTGATTAGTTTCTAGTCCACTCTGACCAAACGGTCAACCACTTGACCCTGACAGCTACAACTAATATCATCCTTGGAGTTCTGCCCAGATAATCCAGGATCTCACTCTCAAAGGAATATTCTTATACCTGCCCTACCGTAAAAACCTGATAAATGAAAGAGGTTGAATTTTTATCTGAGTTGTCGTCCATCTGTGCAGAGGACAACTGAAGCTCTGTTAGAGTGATTTTTAGTCATCTCCTTGACGAGAGAACTGCTTGTTCTTCACACAGTTTGGGCATATATCTTAACCCTGCTTAAAGATTTAAAAATAGGCTTATACCTGTGATCTGATCTATGTCTGTATGTCTGAATACCTTTTGAAATACTTTCTTAAACGCATGTTTCAGTTCAGTAAAGTACATTATAGTAAAATGTGCAAAACGTGATTGTGTCTACATACTTTATGAACTAATTTTATCCAGCATCACATCCACCAGGTGTCTTTTTTGGGGTTGACTAACTAAAGCATGTTATTCTCTCATCTGTTTTTAAGCTTTTAATTTCCTAAATCCTTGGACCAGATGAGGCTCAGTGAAAGCTGGTTTCCTCACAACAAAAGAACAATTGCCCTGCAGGCGTTATCGTCAGCGATGAACCGAACCTTCTCGACCTTCAGTACGGTTACAGCCTGCAGGATATCAAACTCCTCTCCCCTCAGCATCAATCTGAGCCAGGCTTGTTCTGCATTTTTTGTAAAGGACTGCTTTGTCTGCGTTTACATTTGTTCAGATATGAAACAAAGCAGAAAAATATTCAGTGACGGGACATGACATTAACTGTGATGCTTGTTCATTTTAATGTGCTTCTTTGTGCTTACGAAAACAAAAGCTGGAAGGTCAGACGAAGGTAACTGCAAGCAGAGGACTCTTTATTTTTCCTTCTCCTGCTTCCTGCATTTAAAAAGAGATGTGACACTTTCAACTCAAACTAGTGGCAAACTAGTGTGTCATTACATCTGTGATGAATGCAAATTAACGATAACAGCCTGTTAAAAAGTGTTGAATAGTGCAAATACTTTTTTTTAAGTGCAGCATGTGTGAAGTGGTGGATCTGTGGTGTCTTCATGATTGAGAATTTGAGTAAAGTGGTAAAATAGAGGTTAGGGGGTATTCTACAAAAACATTAGTCTCTTTAAAATGTTTACAATATCACAGGAACGTTTATCTTTGCTGGTTTGATGCGCATTACAAAAGACTGGTTGCCTTTGTATGGAGTTTGAGAGCTGCTACTTTTTAAAAGAGGAAATCTGCCAACAGCTAATCTTACACTGCTGAAAATCAACAATCTGGGAGTTATTTGTGCAGTAAAGATCCAAACTGTACTCTTTTTTTTCCTAGAATACCTATCTTCCCGTACCCTGTGTCATCTACATCTACAGGTGGCAATTCCCTACATTTTTCCAGAATGCCTTTTTAAACAAGTCATTTGTATCCAGTGGGGATGTTATATTACTTTATTTCAAAAAGATGAAATGAAATGTAACAAACTGATTCTGTAATGCTTTCTACTGTGACGATGATGTCCGCAGGATGTTTTGCTCATGCATTATCTTCCCAGGGTGTCAAACACCGCCATTCTGTCTGTGGCTGCTGGCCTCTTTGATCCGTGCGAGGTGTTCTGTGGTGTTAATATGGAGACGCACTGACTGTAATATTTGATACTGAGAGACCAGGATATTCATCTTTATTATGTGGGAGGCAAGGTGGTGATGATGTAAATTACAGGTTTTCCAGTGTTTGTGTTTCATGTCCGTTTTGTTGTCATTTTACGTTCACCTTCACTGGGTGCTTGGTTGGGTTTAGGCACGAGAACTAGCTGGTTATTTTTAGGAAAAAATGGCCGTTTTGATTAAAATATTCCCCTTAACAACGCTGCAACTTGAAAAAAATGATATTAATTGGACTCTTGTAATTAAGAGTCCATATAGCAACACTCATCTCACTATTAGCCGGTGCGTCTCAGTACTAACGTCCTACATTCAAAATGTGCATCTCAGACAAAATTACTGTATTTGATGCCCTGGGAATAAGATTGCTCCAATTCAAATTCTGAATATGTTTTAATCTTTTAGGTTTTAAATGCTTCCTGATGGGTCAATGAAACCTCATAGATTAGGTAAGCTGGTTTTTTAATGGTACTATGGGGCAGAAATGTTGGGGCTAACCCCCCACCTCCTCGGCCCTTGTTTTGATAATAATTTCTGGATATCTCAGGTATACAAGAACCTTGAGGAAGTCTCATCCCCATATAGCATGTTACTGATGTGGACAGACCTTCAGCACCATAAAACAAAATCACACCAGTTTTTTTCCAACAGTGTAAGCTTTTTTAGGTGGATTTTCCCTTTAAATCATAGACTTAATTCAAAACACAAACAGACATATGTCTGGCTTTTAGGTTCCCTGTGTGGCAGATTGAATCCTTTGTCACATGGGACCAAGTTTTGTTGAGTTCACTAACATAATATTTTTATTATGATTTGTTTTTTCGTAGTGGTGATACTTTTACAGTGGAGAATAATTCTCAAGCCAAATTCTTTCTTTCTTTCTTTCTTTTTTTTTTAAACTGTAGTTCTCAGGTCTTTAGGGGTCTATCAACTATGTGCTTATTTTGTTCCTCTGCTTTGTATAAACCCACAGTAGCTATGGATACATTTAAAGCTATGAAAAAAGTGAATGTATTCAAGAGCTATTTTCTTTTTATTTCACATTGCTTGATATGGAATTTGAGAAATATGCTGAAATCTATGTGTAACGCAACGGGCAAACAGATCCAGTTGTCCCACTCTCTTTGCCCTTATGTTTACAGGTTAGATTTGCAGCTGCTGTTAGCAGAGTAATGATGGCGAAAAGAAATTAGACAATCCATGATTGGGAATAGTGAGTGCTGTCAATCAAGAGTAGAAAAATAAGCATGCTTCATGTTTTGCACAGCATGGTGTTGATGCACACTCTCAAAAAAAATGTCCATCTTAACACTGAAACATATATTTCTGTTAACATAGCACAGTTGTTCTTTCAAGTACCACACAATCATTAATTTAGGGGAAAATAAAGTGATAAGAATATTTGTCTCTAACATTGGCATCAATGAATTAGCATCAGAAATATGACTGAAATATCCAGTTTATTTATCTTATTTCAATATTTTAATTTCCAAAGCTGTGTTATTGTAAACCAGGGCTAAGTGACGATGAGAAAAGAAATACTCTGTATAGATAAACCTAAATTATGATGTAGTAATAGAACATATTTGCAGTGTAGGAAACTCCCAGCATCAAGATGAAGTTTCTGAATTATATTGAACTTTAAACACAGACGGGCTTCTATTGAGTCACTGATGTTCTTTTTATTTTGAGACACATTTCTTGTTAAAATGGACATTTTTGAAGTATCCGTGTGCTCACAGGACTATCATTGGGTTTCTGCGAAAGTTTGGATGTGAGAGAAAAATGTTTGAATTTACTAAGTGCTTACACTAGATATCCTGTATGCTAACCCTGGATGGATCAGATACAGCGGTAACTGGTTTGAACTGTGATGCTCCAAAGTTGGGCACTGATGGAGCCACTGAAGAGTAGGTTTATATGATGTGATGGAAAGAAAGTGTATAAATTGTGAATAAAGTTTTAAAATCCAAAGTTTGCATTTCAGTGACATTTTTCTTTTGTGGTCTGTGTTTTGAATGAGCCATACAGTTTGGATCAACTTGTTTTAAATGGGCAAATGTAGTTCACAACAATTTCATTTTTTCTTTATTTGGTTTTCTAACAAACAAGACAAAAAAACTTAAAAAGGAAAACAGTTTAACGCAAGAGTGCACATTCTTATGTGGTGCTGCCACTGTTATGTTACTGGTCAGCTATTTCTATAAGAGGTTATCATCTTCCATAAGCATTTGTTTGTTCCTCTGGTTGGAGGTTTTCTGAGACATTAAATAGTTCAGTATATGAATAACCACCACCACTACAACCGCATAGCAGCCCTACTTCTAAAAAGGCTTGTGTAGAGAGAGATGAGCACAAAACTACATAAAAACAGAAGCAGCGGTTCAGAGAAACCCTCTTCAGTGTGTTTACATCAGATCAAACGCTGTGCCGGGGACATAGTTTTAAAATATACACAGCGCAACTATAAAGAACACAATGGAAAATTTTTCAGGAAACACAAAAGACATTTTTTCATTGTTTTTCAGCACCACTGACGAGTATCGCTCTGCCACATGCAATTTGCAGGTGTTACTCCATTTCCTAAATAAATAGATTTTATTTATTTGGTTATGTTGTATTTTGCACATTCAATGAAAAATTAATGATGTTTCCTTATAGTGTAGTGAGCTCACCTGGCCACCATACTTTTGCCTTTACAGGACAAAATTGAGCTCTGATATCACTGTCGTTATGCACAGTGGGCAGCCCACATATTATGATTTTCAAGTGTGGGAATGAACATGCTGATATTTCAGGGAAATGGAAACATTCACAGGGAAGGGTAGTGAATATTTTAAGAAGAAACTGCTAATATTGTGTTTGGCACCAACCGGCACTATAGCTGAAGAGTTTCATCTCTTGCATCTAGAAACTGAGACAAATTACTGATGGAAAATTCACAACTGAATATAATTTTTAGCTATTCTAAAATTGTGGTCTAAATGCAGATCAATGATATATTGCTTCTTAGTCTCAAAACACTAAAACCCTGGAAGTTATACTGCCTGTATAGATTCTTTGAGTACCATGTCTTGTTCTTCTATCACTGACAGCACTCTCAATGCAGATACAGATGGACCCAGAAAACAAAGCCTCTTAAAGACACTCATAATACACTTTATGACCAATGTCTGAGTGGCTTCTCACACTTCTCTTTATACTTTAGATCTTTTAGGAAAATAGGTTGCACTACATTGTTAAGAGTTATTACTGTTTTCTACAGCAAGCAAGACATTTTAAGCCTGCATTCTGCAATGAACTTTTATTAACAAGTGAAACTAAGATGTTTTTCCATGAGGTAAATTTAACATGACTGAGAAGTGGTTACATGCATGAGAGGATGTACTTTTCTTTTTCTTTTTTAAACAGAACACCTATATGTGTCAGCATCGTTTTGCACGTAGCGCTTTCCTTTTTCTGGCAGCTGTAACTGGTAAGGCCACTCTCCTCCTCCCATGGAGCTGGCCTCTTTTAGTCTACTGGGTTGTTTTCTTTTTTTCTTTTTTTCTTTTTTTTTTTGGAACCTGAATTCCTTCTTTGCTTGGCCAATAAAAAGCAGGAGGGACGCTCATTTCCAGTAGTTTCACATTTAGCACCCATTGGAAACTATGTGGGCCCAGACCGCTGCTCTGCTGCTCGCCTGCTGCCTCTGGCCAGCTGAGGCTCAGACTGAAAGGGGTCAAAGCATTTGGGATCCACCTATCAAATTCAGCACCAAGGCTAAAGACTCATGCACCATGATTGTCACCGGTCAAGGGGAATTCACGAGGCTGAGACTGTCATGCCAGAGGAACAAGCGCTCTTACTGGTGTGACTACATAGGCAAGCCTCACACCTGCACCCCTTACAACAAAAATCCTCGACACTATTTCGTGCAGATGATGTGGAATCTGAGAAAGCTGGACAATGCCTGCCAAGCACCAAGACAGATTAAACCTCACATGTGCAGGAAGGCAACTGATGACTCTCAGATGGTCTTCTCATCATCTTCATTCTCCCAGTCACGAGCAGAGGCTTCTTCTAGGAAAGTAGCAAGACCTCAACGTCGGCCTACACCAACAAGACAAGCTGACGCAAAATCCATTCAAGAGCCACAAAAAGAAAAGACCACTCAGGAAACTAGTACTCAACCACCACCAACAACACCTGCTGTTGAGAGCAACGCTAAAAAAATGGCTCGGCAGAATTGCTGGAGGTCGCTGCAGGGCATCTGCTCGTTCTTCATTGGTTTGTTTCGTAATTAACCAGAAAGGTGAGCAGCAGTACTGGGCCTGTTTGTTAAAATGCAACACTTTTTAAAAAAAATATTCATTTATAACTAATCTAGAATGAGGCTATTTAATTAAGTTAGATTCCAGCATTTTTTTTATTTATTTATTTTGCTGCTCCTAATTATATTGCCTATGCACCCAGTTTCCACCTTGCACACATTATGTGTTATATTCACAGCTTTTAACCGCTAATGAAAATAACTTGGCGTCTGGTTCAAGCAGCCCTTGGAGGAAAATTCCAAACGAGGAGTTTGTTAGCCTGTTGTAGAACTGTAACACCCTCTTCAGGGCAAGCTGTGCTATTACAGTGACTTTCAAGTACTCCTCTCACTCAAACCAACAATTATCAGCCTCCATTAAGAGCCAAACTGGAAGAACTTAAAGGTCTCACTTGACTATGTAATGACAAATGTTTTGCATGAACAACCTGTACTGAATGATACTGCTTTAACATATAATGTATGTTTATTATGTTTATTACTTGCATATTATCTGTTTGCATCACTCAATATTACCTTCAGAATTATTGGGGGATTGTTTTATTTTTTTTGCTCTGGTTTTCCATGCTGGTGTATTTGTCCCAAAATATGTATAAATGTGAAAATGTTTTATTAAATAACCATTTTCAATCTCTATGTGCTGATTAATGCCATTTCATTAACATTCCTGATTAAAAATATTAGATAATAAAACTGCAAGCAGCAGTATTTGTGAAAATGAGTTGTCTAGGGTGTTATGTCTTATGGCAGTGTGCAGTTTAATATTTTTAAGCCATATGACTCGTCTACTGTACCGTATATGACCATTAGGTGTTTGGTGCTTTGAGACTAAGTTCAATCAATCAGCAGTTTTATCCAGCAGAAACATCTGGCTCCTTTCAAGATATTCAAAGCCATTTCATCTCTGGCACGGTGCACTTACAGTTGGCCCTGTGAAGGTCCTTTAAGACTCTAGGTTATTTGCATTTGTTTAAAATATGAACTTAGATTATTCTAAAGCAGGTGGAACTTGAAGCAGAAAATCTGGAACAACAGATAACTTTTAGTTTTGGGAGCTTAACATAAGCCTTGCAAGTGCTCATGATTATTCAGGTCCATAGAAGCTGCAAACAAGTTTAACACTTGTATCACTTGTGGGTTGATGAAGTTTTGGTTCTAAATTGACAGTGTTTATAAAAAGTTTTTATTATGTATTAGGGTAATTTCATTTTCTATCAGCCATGTAATTTTAAATGTCTCCCCCCCCCCCACACACACACACACAGTTTAGCTTGATGACACAGGTACCAGGTTCAAAGAATCCCTAATCTATTCGAGACCTCAATAAACTTTATAAGCTCTTCAGTCATGCTGTGTGTGTGTGAGGGTGTGTGACTGAGCGTGTGAGTGCAAGTGTATATATTTGAAGGGGAGGGGTGATTATGTGGCAGCATATTGCAATCTGCAAGTAAGGGCAACACTCTCATGTGTGAGGACTGCAAACCGAAGTTTCTCTAAAAACTTCAGGTAAGGAAAAGCACCACAACTTAAGCTGCACCCTAATCTGGCAATAATATTTGGGGTGTGCTACTTACATCAGCCTAGTATATATTTAATGTGCTCACAGTTACGTTTTTGTAAAATGCATTCTGTGAAATCCTTGTTGCCAGGTTCAATATTTATAAAATACCTGTTAAACACATTGTCTTTATTTCTATTTCCAATATTTACTAGTCTGTATTTTGTTTATAACTGTTGTAGTTATACTGTAGGCGATATAGTTGCATAACTGCATAATCAAGGGATAATTGCACCATCACAATTGTAATATGATGCATTTACATTTTTATTTTTTAATCAGTATTTAAATCTGTGCTTCTTTTTAACAGTTTTTAAACCTCTTCCTTTCTTAAAGTCAAACTAAAAGGTGCATGTGCTCCATGTTTTTTTCAAAATTCCGTTTATGGAATATTTTTTAGATTGCATCTTTGCATTCTTCTTTTTGTTCTTCAAAATACCTCTTTGACTTGAAATTGTCTTGAATGTGCTGTACAAAAAATACTTAATGCTGTTTTGTGCTGTCTAAAGCCAAAACTATTCCCACAACATTCAGTTTCCATTTGAAATGTTAGTTTAACGGAGGGATTAAGACATGTCTTTCTCCAAAGGGAAATTAAAGGGTTTTAAGGTCAAATATCTAAATCTGATTTAATCCTTTGGCAGGTTGTGTTCTACTGATTTCATGGCTCTCCTCACAAACGTCACCATCCTCCTGGTCTTGGCTTGTGTTTCCTATCAGGTGATGTTGGGTAGCTGCCAAAAGAGCGGTGGACGGAGGGGACGAGGCATGGACAAAGGACAGCACAAGAATAGGTCAGGAGCAAAAGTGGGCCGCCAAACAAAGCCCGTCTCTGCACAGCTCATGAGAGGCAAAGTGGTCACCAAAGACAAGTTTGAATGTGCCTGGGTTGCAACAGGTGAAGATATCGTCATTCTCAGCATCACGTGCAAGAAGGAGGACAGGAGCTTCAGCTGCGAGTATATTGCCAGACCTACTGCTTGTCCTGAGTATGCCTCAAATGTTAAACTTTACTGGAAGCAGATCGGCAGGGAGCTGAAGAAGCTAAACAGTCTCTGCCAGGACAGCAGTGCTTTTGTCAGGGCAGGTATGTGCAGAAGAGCTGCCAGAGAGGCTAATTTCAGACTGAATGTAACACAGAGGGTGAAGACTTCTCCACTGTATACCCCAACTTCTCCAGTCAAAGCTGTAAAATCCTGTCAAGCTGATAACAGGAAGAGAGCAGAGGAGTTCTGCAACAACTCCTGGTCAAGTGTTTGCACATTTCTATTTACTATGGTGCGGGATTATGATTGCTGATACAGAAAAACTGGAATTAGTTCAGCTTTTCTGCAGTCACATACAGTAAATACTTGTCCCATAGATTCTTCATATAGATGCTTGCTGCTCAACAAAAACATACTCAATGAACAGTTTTTGATCTATCGCTTTTGGAGAAATTTGTGTAAGCGTTCAAGCCTACTGAGACAGATATAATATGTAGAATATTAGTTTCTCGATTTTTATTTCTTTTCCTGTAACTTGTAATTTCACTTGGTTTTTTTTTTTCCTATTATAGCCATATTGAAATTACCTCTCCTTCTCAATATAAAATGCCTACTTAAATAAAAAGACAAAATACTCCTTAAAATAATGTCAAACCATTTTCTGTCTCTCCCAAATGTGCACAGTCTTGCCTGAAGTCTTTTCATGGGAGGTTAAATGTTTGGGAATGTCTGGTATTGACATAGCAATTTAAGCCAGGGGGGAGTGTGATTTCTAGAAACCTCAGCCTGCATACCTTGGCAACGAGAGGTCTGTGAAGCCACAGTCACTGTGTGAAGCCATAAAAACCTCATATGTTCATCTTGCATAATCAAGGGATACCAGTATCTAAACGGACAAAATAAAACAGAAATAATATTTTGCAGGTTAAACCGAAGACTTTAGCATAATTTTTTGGCACTTATGATCAGTAGAAGTTCTCATACATATTCATCATTTCCGTGATAACATTAGCTTGAATTAGCTTGAATTAAGTTTGCATACCACACTTGTACATACTGTAAAATTCTTACTATTTGCTTTGGAAAAGCTGTACTGGAATATGAGTTAATATTTCTAATATTACTGTATCAATGAGCTGTATAAACTAACTAATGAAGTACATTCCTGGGTAATTTGATTTCCTTTTTTTACTGTCAATATTTACTTGATAATGGAGAGGTTACCAGTTAAAGTAATTTAAATAAAAACTTGCAGAACAATTAAAGTTGTACTACAAGGAAACTGTAGTAGATGGCGCCTATCCCAGCTGCCAGAGGGTGAGAGACAGGGTACACCCTGGACAGGTCGTCAGTCTGAATTAAACCAACTTGATTTTATTATATTTTTATATATCACCTAAAACTGTTTCACACGGGAAGATAAAATCTCTGCTATAATAGAGAAAATACAGATGGCCTGATAGTTCTGTTTGAGAAAGCACTTGGTGACACTGTGAAGTGGTAATGAACCTCCAGCAGGACCAAGCTCAGGGACAGGGAGCCATCTGCTACACTTGGTTGGGAGGTGATGTCAAAGAGAAGAAAAAAAACTAGTACTGACAATCCATGAACAACAAACTAGGAGAAAGTAAATAAAACTTAATGGGAATAGTCCTGTAAAGATACACACTGGCTGTTTATGTTCTAGGAATCCCAGAAAATTCCATTCCCAAAAGTTCCATTGTTAATATTCTCCAATCATACACAGTTCTGTGAAAGCCAGAAAGAACATTCTTCAGCCAGAGCTGGAAGACATGTTGTCATTTTAGACAGTGGAATGACTCTGCTTTCTGTGATCACTTAGTCTTCATCTCCTGCTGAAACTTAATGGTTTGCCCACAGGTTAAATCCATCAAGTTCAGACTCTCAGCAGGTTGCATTCTGGGCTTAGTAGGAAATCTGTTGCTGGTGGATCAGAAAGGCCAAAACAGTGTGGCTGCAGAAAAAAATAAATTATACAGCAGCCACAAAGTCACTGCTGGAATGTAGTGAATACAGACTTATAAGGAGTAGCTTTCCTTGAAGGACTTTAAAACAACAGCTGCTGAAAACAAGACTGAAATTCTGCTGAGCTCAATTAAACAGTTTCTATTAAACTTAAACTCCCAGAGAGCAGCCATTTGGCTTTTCTACCTATAAAACCCGGAGAGCAGCCAAATGGGTGGTAGGCTTTTAGCTAAGCTTTAGCTTCAGCCAAGTGGAAGCTAAATTGGCTAGTCATTCATATGTATATTAGGTTGTTACCTGGGAATTCTGGAGGGAGGGGAGTGGGGGTGTATGAATGAGGGGGTGGGGGAGCTGCTAAAAGCTGTGCACTTCCTTTTGTGTTTCATCTTGATGCATTCTCAATCATCCAGGGAAATAAATCTCCAAAAGTCACCAACTTGGAGTGTTTCAGTTTGCCATCTTAGGGAGAAATCAACACACCGTCTAAGAAGTTTTTGCGCAAATGAAAGCGATGTGAAAAAATTGTCCGTGGTAACATTTCTGCCCTTGTCTAGGAATGGTTCCATCAGCCTCATTACTACATTTTCAGAAAGTCTCTCCCCAGTGGGACGATTGGGGTCCTTGCCAAGATATGGGAAGACATTGCAAATGTACTTGGATTTTAGGTCGCAAGCCACCCAAAACTTGATCCCAAACTTGTCAGGTTTACTTGCAATATACTGCAGGAAACAGCACCGAGTCTTTGATTGGAAAAGCTGTTCATCAACGGTGATATGTAGATCAGGGTTGCAGCATGTGATGCTGTTGGTGACAAATGATCCCCACACACTGGAAATTGCAGCGAACATGATTGACATGGCAGCACTGAATGCACATGTGCTGTATCAAGCATGCACCGGGACGAAGGAAAGACGGGTGGACTTCCTGGTGGAGCTTGCAAGAGAGTTGGCTCACTCTCATGTAGCTGCGAAGAAGGCAAGAAAAGAACAATTGCTTTGGACACAACCCTCCACACCTAGCCCTGGAAAAAGAGCCATGTGTCAGGTCAAACACAAATGCAAGAACAATCATGCCACTGTGCGATGTGTTCACTGCAACAGATACACATGTGGTAAATGCAGACTACAGATACCATGGCAGTACCAGGATTGTGAGTGATTGCTGAAAATGTTGAAATGTACTCACTCACTTTTTATTATTATTTGTAAATATGTGTACAAATGGTTGGTTTTTTGTACTGTTTTTGCAGAGGGTCGTGAAAACTGCCCAGCGCATCGCCGGAGCACCACTTCCTGCCATAAAAGACATCTACAGGAAGCGGTGTCTGAAAAGGGCTGGGAAAATCATCAAAGACCCCAGTCACCCATCGCATGGACTCTTCACCCTCCTGCCCTCTGGGAGGCGCTACAGGAGCCTCCGGACTAAGACCACCAGGTACCGGAACAGCTTCTTCCCCACAGCTGTCAGACTCCTGAACTCTGCCTCCTGACATCTGACTCACGTTAAACTCATGGACTGAACATACACACACCCACAATGGACAACTGTACCCTCAAACACACAATAATAACATGGACTGAACCACCACTCACAACCACTAGCACTTTATATAGCCTCTGTAGAAACTATCTACACCCTCACTTATCTTAACTGCACTACTGTATAGCTCTGTGTAAATAATCATTCTGTACATTCGATAATCTTTAATCCTACAACTGTTTACAACTTGCATAGTTCCCACTTCTGTATAGCTGTATATCTCAGATTCTGTAAAGTTATTTATTTCATATTCTGTATAGTTTTTCATATTTATATCCTGTTCATATCCTGTACATAGCTTGTACTCACTACAGCCTGTACATACTTATAGAATATTCACAACATACTTCATACCGTGTACATTATAACATACCATAATAGACCCATTTCTGTAATATACTCACATATCTATATTATTGCTAATATATATTGTAATATATCTATATCACTAAAGCACTTCTGGATGGATGCAAACTGCATTTCGTTGCCCTGTACCTGTGCATGTGCAATGACAATAAAGTTGAATTCTATTCTATTCTATTCAGAATCAGAATACTTTATTGATCCCTGGGGGAAATTATTTTTTGTTACAGTGCTCCATTTTAAACCAACATTAAGACAAGACAGACAATACACTAACTAAGAATAGTACAATATATACATATACATACATACATACATACATACATACATACATACATAAGTCACTTATAAATAAATAGTTGGAAAAGAAACATGTGTAGCTGTAGCAGCAAACAGTGTGTTAAGTGGATGCGTTGTACAGGGAGATGGCCACAGGCAGGAATGATTTCCTGTGTCGTTCAGTGGTGCTTTTCGGTAATCTCAGTCTCTCACTGAACGTGCTCCTGTGACTGACCAGCATGTCATGGAGTGGGTGGGAGGTGTTATCCAACATTGTCTTTATCTTGGACAGCATCCGCCTCTCCGACACCACCTTGAGGGAGTCCAGCTCCATCCCCACAACATTGCTGGCCTTACGGATTAGTTTATTAAGTCTGTTGGCATCTGCGACCCTCAGCCTGCTCCCCCAGCATGCAACAGCATAGAGGATCGCACTGGCCACAACAGACTCATAGAAAATCCTCAGCATTTTCTGGCAGATGTTGAAGGACCTCAGTCGCCTCAAAAAATAGAGACGACTCTGGCCCTTCCTGTAAAGTGCTGTGGTGTTTTTAGCCCAGTCCAGTTTATTGTCAATGTGTACTCCAAGGTATTTATAGTCCTCCACAATGTCAACACTGACCCCCTGAATTGAAACAGGGGTCAAGTGTTTCCTGGTCTTCCTGAAGTCCACGATCAGTTCCTTGGTCTTTGCCACGTTGAGCTGCAGATGATTCTGCTCACACCACGTGACAAAGGAGTCGACCACAGCCCGGTACTCTGTCTCATCATCCCTGCTGATGCATCCAACCACCGCAGAGTCATCAGAAAACCTCTGAAGATGGCATGTCTCTGTGCAGTGGCTGAAGTCTGTGGTGTAGAGGGTGAAGAGGAAGGGGGAGAGGACAGTCCCCTGTGGTGCCCCTGTGTTGCTGATCACCTTGTCAGACACACACTGTGGGAGACGTACATATTGTGGTCTTCCTGTCAGGTAATCAACAATCCAGGACACCAGAGAAGCATCCACCTGCATCGCTGCTAACTTATCACCCAGGAGGGTCGGCCTGATGGTGTTGAAAGCACTGGAAAAGTCAAAAAACATGACTCTCACAGTGCTCGCCGGCTGGTCCAGATGGGTGTAGACACGATTGAGCAGGTAGATGATGGCGTCCTCAGTTCCGAGACGAGGCTGATAAGCGAACTGAAGGGGATCCAGGTGTGGTCTTACTATGGGTCGCAGCTGGTCCAGGATGAGCCTTTCCAGGGTCTTCATGATGTGGGAGGTCAATGCCACGGGCCTGTAATCCTGGGGGCCACTGGGACGTGGCGTCTTTGGTACAGGGACGAGGCATGATGTCTTCCACATCACCGGGACCCTCTGCAGACTCAGACTCAGCATAAACAGTTTATGAAAGACTCCACACAGCTGGGGGGCACAGGTCTTGAGGACAAGGGGACTCACTCCGTCTGGTCCAGCAGACTTGCCTGAGTGAAGTCTCCTCATTTGCATCTCAACCTGGTATTGAGTGAAGGTGATGGGT